AAGGGAAGAAGTTAAGAAAATAACTCACAACTTTAATAATCAACAAGCTTCAAGAGCAACACCAAGAAATGAGAGTTTAGCTCCTCATTTGGAGACTAAACATACTATAAAAATATAAAAGAAATACTATTCTAAACTGAGATTAAGATTATGGAAGAAGGAATGATTATTTGTGAAGGAAAAGTGTGTTATTTATAGGTGTTTTTCAACACCTTGGGCCGGGTACCCGACCGGGTCAAGTGCCCACCCGACGGGGTGCATGTCAAAATCACATAATCTTCCACGTTCTTGTGTTTCAGCACGTCGTTTTGTCCCAAGTCACATCTGACCCGACCGGGTCAAGTAGGGGACCCGACCGGGTCCAGTGATTTTCCAGGCACTTTCGCTTGTTAAATCGTACCCGCCCGGGTGAGTATTCCTACCCAACCGGGTAAGTGTTCCTGGGCAGCATTCCTCTTGTTTTTCCTCCTTTTCCTTGCCAAAAACTCTACCACTACTTTACAACTTATAAATGGAAGCTAAAAACAATTACAAACCAAATAAAACAAATGGCTACAAACTAATAAAAATGGTAAACAATACACACAAATCAAACATAAAAATATACATTTATGCACTACTAATTAGTGCATATCAACTTACATGCTTTTTATTCCCTAAATAGAAGGAATAACTATCATGTTTTGGCAGTACCAGACTATAAACATGACACTTTTTTCAAACTTGACAATAATTGCACCTATTTAGGGAATAAAAACATGACTGTCCTATTTCAGAAAATTTCCCAAACACAACCAAATACTTTGAAGCGTGTGCCTATTTGCCATTATAATATCCATTGTTGTTCCCAAAGGGAGAGCAAATATATACAAATGATATTTCATTAACCGAGACTCAAAGTGCAAGGTCACATGAGAGACACAAGATTTCAATGAGAGAGTTCTATGCTTACATATTTCAAAAATATAGATATTGAACAAGCATGGTTTTTATTTTCAAAAAACCGATTTCAATAGTTGTTGGTGGACATATATAGTACAATCGAATCGTCTCTATTGTACTATTATTATAGAACTCATCATAAGAAAGTGATGATGGACATGTATGAAGGAAGAATCGAAGAGACCATTTTAAGGGGCGACACAAATCCGACGGTTGTGGGTAAACGCATTGTGCTGCCATCATCTTTTACAAGTGGTGCACGATATATGTTTCAGAATCATCAAGACGTTATGGCATTATGCTGCTGAATGAGCTATCCTGATTTATTCATAACTTTTACAAGCAACCCAAAGTGGCCTTAACTCTCTATATACTTGAGGGCCCAAGGACTGCAATCTAAAGATAGGCCCGAGTTGATTTGTCGAGTTTTCAAAAACAAACTTGATGTGATGATTAAAGAGATCAAAGGAGGAAAAGTTTTTGGATTAGTGAGGGTAGGTATGTATAACTGAATGACAATTTTTCTTTGTATGCAGTATATACACAATTGAGTTCTAGAAGAGAGGGTTGTCTTACACACATAAAATTTCTTGCACCCACAATATAGGTATCTACATCCAGATGATATTGATAAGATTATATTAGTTGAGCCACCGTATGAAGAGAGTGACCCTGAATTGCTAAAGAGTGTCTCATCTTCAATGCTCCATAGTCCGTGTGAGTTATCGAATAAGAAATCACCGTGCATGCAAAAGGGTAAATGCATACGACACTTTGCGAAAAAATATGTTGAGCGGACGAGTATCGATGAAGAAGGTTATCCATTTTACACGATGATAGATAATGAAGGTGGTATACAAAAGGGAGACAATATCATTGACAATGGTTTCATCCTCCCTTACAACCCGTCATCTTCTTATGAAATAAAAAGCTCATTTAAATGTAGAATGGTGTAACCAATCCTACTCAACAAAGTATCTATTCAAATACGTGAACAAGGGCCATGATAGAGTCACCACATGCTCTTATGATGAACCTTATCACCATATGCTTTTATTGATTCAGAACATGTGGATGAAGTAAAGTTGCATTATGATTGTCGATATTTGTCATCGTGTGAGGCAACATGGAGACTTTTTGCCTTTGACATAAATTATAGAGAACCTTCTGAAGGTGATTCCCCTTCAAGAGGTTTTGGATGGTCAAATGCAATAGAAAAAAAAAATCTCTGTGTTAATGGATGCAAATGTGAAGTACCATGAAGCAAGAGACTTAACCTATGCTCAATTCCCTTCGAGTGGGTGTGGAAGTAGATTGAACATGAATGACTTCATAGACAAAGGGGACATGGTTGGGATATTGCATTTCTAGCCTCCAGTAACCTATGTTTTAATTAAGACTCGAACCGGACTGGATGGGTCGACCTGGAACCTGCGACCCGGCTCCAAAACCGGTCTGGTTGACCTTCAACCCGCTAAAGCGTTAAAACCCGGAAAAAGTTGGCGACTCAGATGGAACCGGAACGGACCCGGAACCACTGAAACTCGGAAATTGGCAAAGCACGGACTTTGGCAAGGAGTTGCTGCACGTAGGAATCAATCTCCCGATCTTCTCCGGGCAGAAATATGGCCTCTCATCCCCTCTACAACCGGAACATGTTGCCGAACGATATAACAAGATGTGACGGAAGCACGAGACCAAGAAAACGTACCATTGTACTTCCCAATTAAACATTAATCAATTAGTTAACTTTTTTTACCAATTAATTAGTTAAGTAAACCATTCATAATAACAATAATTATGCAGACACAACATTATACTTCCCATTTATATATGTACTACGTATATCATATTACAATTACAACTAAGTGAATATATATTTCTATTATATTTTTAGGATTTTGTGATTGATGCCATGCTATATTTATTGTCCATCTATATCCAATTTTGTTAAACGACTTAAAACCAATTCTAAAATAATGATTTTTTAATTGGATTATATTGTATAAGCATAATTAAATTGTGAAGGATTGCCATTTTTCTATTTATGAATTTAGCCTTATATATATGTATAAATATATGTGTTGACCGGGTTTTACGGTCATTGACTGGGCTGACCCGCCGGGTCCAGGTTGACCCTTGACTCGGTTCTTCCCCCGGGGCGCTTTCCGATCCGGTTTTTTACAACATAGCCAGCAACGGGTGAGTTATACTACTTGCACACATTGTTGAACCATGTCGGGAGATCAAGATCATTTGTTGAAATACGAACAACTGACAACATTGTGTATGATTTCTAGACACGTGCAATGCATTGAGATTACTAGGTGATGATAAAAAATGGTAGAAGCATAAAGATTGTTTTTTCACCTACAAATGATGTTGTAGAGCTTATCAATAATTATATGATTTTATTAGTGTCTGGAGAAATGAAGACATATTTGAGTTTTGACACCCCATGTTCACTTGAAGGCAACATTGGCGCTAAATCCGATGAAGTGCATACTAAGAGTCTTTGGACATCATTAATGCATCAGGGATATCAAACCATAAAATGAGATTAAGGCTGGTTTTCCTATTATGTTAATGAAAAACATTGACCAGTCCTCTAACTTCTGTAATGAAACTCGCCTGATCACTACTTGGTTAGATAAATTTGTGTTATAAGCGAATGTTATATTTTGGCAAAAGTATTGATCAAAAGGATTTGATTCCAGGACTATCATTAGTCTTGTCAGGTAGCAGGATTCCTTTCAAATGTCAACCTAGACAATTCCCAATCGTCATTTCATTTGCCATAGGCCCATAGCAATAAACAAAAGTCAAGGACAATCTATGCATCATATCAAATGAGCATATATCTTCCAAAATATGTGTTTAGGCACGGTAAATTGTGCGTTGGCATGTCAAGGTTATCTCAAGGAGTGAGTTGAAGATTCTTATATGTGATGACGAAGGTCGTGCTATCAACACCACTAAAAGTGTGGTCAATAAAGAATTTTTCAAAATCCGTGCAACTTTTTTTTTACATTGTCAACATATATGATTGTTTTATTTTATAAATTTTCATAAGACCTACTATTAATTGTACTATCAACTTATTTCATCATCATGCAGAGCTTGTTGTTGTTGTTTCACGTAGAGCTTATATGGTTACACACTATTGTGTATTTTAATTTTTTTTATTGTAATTTTTCATCCGATTCAAATTTTCTCGCAATTACTACTACATATATAATAAAAGTTTTACTACCTCCGTCCCATAAAACTTTGCCAAGTTTGATCAGCACAGAGAATAATAAAGTAAAAACTATGTGGTTGAAGTTTGTGCAGAAGAGAGAGAAATAACAAGAATCACAAAATAATTGATTGAAATGGAAAGTGACAAAGTTTTTTGGGTCGTCCAAAAAGAAAAGATGACAAAGTTTCAAGGGACGGAGAGAGTAGCATATAAACGTTATTGTCTTTTTTTATTTAGCAAAATTACACCTCACATACCATCGTAAAACATAATTTTGATAAATTACTATGTACTAGTATTATTCAATTTTAGATATATCCCGTGCATCGCACGAGTACTTCACCAAGTTAAATTTAATGATCTTTTTTACATCATAAAAGAATCCAGTCTTTACTTTCTTGACATGAAAGTGCAAATTCAGGTAAATAGAAAGAATGTAAAAAGAATCCAAATTCAGGCAAAGCAAGTTTCCGCCTCGCCTTTTTGTATTCTTGAATATAAAAGAGCGCCTTTTTATGTTATTATAAGAAACCATAGAAGACAACATTCAAATAGTTATGATATAATCGGTCGTAAATTCCGAAAATAGACATAAAATCATCCACCTTATACAAAGCAATCTGATTCCCTAGACACAAAATAAGCAAACTTAAATCTAAATCAATCGATTGAAAAAATGTCTATCAAAAGTATTCTGAAAATATAAACATCCAAATCAAACTTATTCTTACTAAAATAAAAAAAAAAGTTCCCCCCTTTTTATTTTACCATAATACGGAGTATAATAAGGAGTAATATATACACGCAGTCGCGACTCGCGAGCGACCTTTTTCGAACCCAAAAGCATTTTTATCTGCAGCTGCCTACCATCCCCCCCTATAAGTTGGTTGCCTTTCCCAGGTCTATCAACACCATCTTCAGCGTCTCCCCGTACTTGAAGCAACCGATGACTTGCCCAAACCCAATCGCCTTCACGACAGAATCATAGTCCACGGCGTAATACGATCATCTTCAAATCGAATTGGACAGACGCCACCAGTTATTAGCAGTTCAATCGTTGTATGCATTTTTCTGTAAGTTAAGTCCTTCACAATGATGCCGCAGAGGCCAAGACGCAGGTGTGAAGGAACTGCCATGGGCGCCATCATTTTCGATCTTCGCCCGGGCACCGGCATCGGCCCTTTCTCTCTCGGTATATATACTCTCCCTCCAAAAGTAGTTGGATACGGTGGAGTGTTTTTTTATTTACATTTGATGGTTTCGATGGTGATACCTGTTGTTTGGCAGGATACGTTGGTGATTTTTATTATTTTTGATGAGTTCTGCTTAAGAGTAAGATATAGTTTTGTTCATTGAAGTTCATAGACTTGAACTGGTTGCTTGTTACTCTGCAGGAATGCCTATTTGCGAGGCCTTTGCTCAAATAGAGCAGAAACCTAACATTTATGATGTTGTTCATGTAAAGTATTATGACGAGGTAGTTCCCTGTATAAATTTGCAGACGATTCGGTTTCTTTGTCTTAATATCTGCTTTGGCAATTGGCATTAGAAAACAATGCTCCACAAGGATCATTTAATTTTACATACTGTGTATGCGCTGATTTGACCTCGAAGTCGCCTCAGCTGATATTAACTTACTTACCATACTATAAGTCTGATGATGCTCTTCATATCAATAAATGATCCGTATTTTCAATCAAACTGGTAGTTGATGCTTCTCAAGTTTTAGAGAGCTTGGAAGTCAATGTTTATGGGGCTACCTCTTTATCCTCTGTCGATTAATGTTTACTTCTTCCACCCCTCATTATTTAGCGTTTTTTTTTTGCCAAAAAAATTGTCCCAAATTTTTGTTTTATGATCCCTATGCAATTTTTAGTACCCCTCTAAATTGTCCCATATCCGATCTTCATATATTAAATGCTTTTGAACCCTGAAAGGAAAAAATGCATTTTCTATTATACTAAAATATTTACAGAAGGTTCATTTGATGACTCTGCTTACTATGCACTAACCGAAAGCATTATCACTTTTGTTTATTGATAACGGGTCATTTTGTTAGTCTTCTTAGTACGCAACTATCTAAATTTTCCTTTTGAATCAGTTTGAATTATTTAGGAGGTTGTGGCTAGTTTTCTGGCTGTACATCACTATCCTTTAGGGTCTCTACCTATTCCATATAAACGAGTGATTGTAGCTGTAGTAGTACCTCTTATGCAGTAATGATATTCCAAAGTCTGGTTAGTTCCATGTTTTTCATTGCATTTAGGTAGCTAAAGGGTTAAGTTTATATTTATATATGTAATCATAAAGCCATACTTCTTGCTATACAAATATTCAAATATACTATAGTCACATACTCACATATTGTCTTTGATGTGTCTTTGACATCTCAGAATTCTTGTAATGGTCATTCACCATGTCAATTTTGTTCTCTGCAGGATCCTTTAAAACTTGATATTGTTATTAGCTTTCCAGACCATGGATTTCATCTTCGCTTTGATCCTTGTTCACAGGTGCTTTGCTTGATGCAGTGCATTCTACCTTCTACTTGTGGCTATGATAGTTTTTCAGTTGCTTCAGAAGTTTTTATCCATTATGTTATGCAGTTCTATTATTTTGTAAACATTTTATATCTGAGGTGTTCAATTTCAATCTAGATCTGAAATATCACTGCTTATATTGAGATTGCTGATCTATGAATATAATCAAAGCATGATTTATTGATGCTAACTTTTGATATTGACTCTTTATCTGTCAGAGGCTGCGTCTTATTGAAATATTTGATGTGAAACGACTTCAAATGCGTTATGCCACATCTCTGATTGGGTAGGTGTCTTTATATTTGTATATCTGTGTGCGTATGTGTATCATTATTTATGTTAACCGACTAATTAATTCCCACCTTTCTTTTAGTGGACCATCAACACTAGCTACTTTTGTTGCTGTTTATGCACTTTTTGGGCCAACATATCCTGGAAAGTATGACAAAAACAGAGGAGTTTACACACTATTTTACCCAGTATGTATCATTGAGTTATGAAATTAGCCATTTCCTTTTTTATCTTATAGCATGTGTTAATCAGTGTAGTAATGGGATTTTTTTATATGTTAATTTTCAGGGATTGTCCTTCGCTTTCCCAATTCCCTCACAGTATACAGAATGTTGTTCTCATGGACAAGGTAGTATTTTAGTATACTATAATGTTGATGTGTTCTTTGAAAAGTTCATTCAATTACTTAGCGTTCTAGTCCTTATTATTATTGTTGTTATTTTTTTCCACATAGCGGAATTGCCTCTGGAGTTCCCAGATGGCACAACTCCAGTTACATGCCGTGTCTCAATATACGATAGTTCCAGTGGTGGTAAGGTTGGTGTAGGATCCTTGATGGACAGGGCAACTCCTCCTCCTTTGCCTGCTGGAAGCCTATATATGGAGGAAGTGCAAGTTCAGGTTCATTACTTAAAAGAATATTTCTTTCTTAGTACTCGCTCTGCTATTCATTGTGTTAATAATGTGTGTTGTGAAACTCTCTCACTGTTTATTTTCTATGAGTTCTCACTGAATTAATGAGTACACTAGTATCCAGGTTTAAGCAAATGTTTTTTCCCAGTTTCTTTGAGAGCAGAGTAATTTGAACTTGCTAGGCTTGCTGGCTGCTGCATTGCCTTTTTTAACCTGTAGTTTGTAAAATATTGGATAAGGGATAAGATTTTGTGTTATAATAATATGGCACATGGTGTTTATCTATTCTGATTTGTGTTTCGAGTGATTTGTTAAATAGTTTCTTTTTACCTGTACATGGTGTGTCTGAATAATGTCGAATTTCAATGTGCCTAGCTAGGGGAAGAGTTGTGGTTCACTGTTGGTGGCCAGCACGTTGCTTTTGGTTCTTCACCACAGGTGGTATTATTATATCTTTCATTTGATTACATGGTTGTTGTTTTCTGAAGTTCCTTTCATTGTATCACTTAGATCTGTTGCTTCTATGCTTCTTTAGTTGATTATCTTCCTCACTAGTGGGAGTAAATAGAGAACAGTGTTCCTTTGCATTGCCTTAGACATGAATTAGTTCAACCTCCTTTTTCCCTTGGGAGTTACTCTTTTATCTTTCGACAAATCATTGTCATCATTGCCTTAGGGACTCATAAAATAAAGAAGTTTGTCTTCGCAGTTTGAAATTTTCTCATCTTGTCTAATAACCAATGTAGACAGTGTCAGTTGACCAATAACCGATGTAGGCATTCATCTTGTCTTATAAAATTCATGCACATTCGGATACTAAAGAAGAATTAGAGTCAAAGTCAAAGCCAAACACTCCGGGGTTATTCATCTTTTATTGTTTCTCTGCAGGATATATGGACCGAAATGGGCCGCCCTTGTGGAGTTCACCAAAAACAGGTATGAATGAATTTATTATTGCGCTTAGAACTATTTATGTGACTTCATTTGAGGTTTGACGTGCTTGATATGGATGGGGTGAGAATCACAGGTTGACCAAATGGTGATTCATTCCGCTTCAGATCTTCGGCCTCGTACTACCCTATGTGGAGACTATTTCTATAATTACTTCACACGTGGGTTAGACATTTTATTTGATGGGCAGGTATTTTATTGTTCTTTATACTTCGTATTTCATACTTTAATCATAATTGGATTTCCATCTCAACTCTTACTTAGTTTATATAAGTATATTAGATACCATTTTAAAAAAATTGTCATGCAGACTCATAAAATAAAGAAGTTTGTCTTGCATACCAACTATCCTGGGCATGCTGATTTTAATTCTTACATGAAGTGCAACTTTGTTATCCACACTTCAGATTGTAAGTTTATTTCTTGATTTGTTCCTCTTTACAATTTTTGTAGAACTAGTTTATTGGATTTTTATATTCCAAATTGCTTTCTCTGCAGTTGGTGGTTCATTTCATAAGGATGTTAACTATAAGCATACTATTACACCGAGTACGAAATGGGAACAAGTTAAGGTAAACCATTTCATCATAAATTTCCTTTCTTCATCATGCATCAGATTTTGTAAGACATTTTTTTTTCTCGTGAGGAGTAATTCATAGAATGTAGTGCTACCTTAAACCCTCTAGTTTGTGAAGCTCGTTTGGATTGAGAGAACATGAAAATGAGTGCGGTTTCTTAATCCGTATGTGTGGGGTTTCACCACATTCTTGGAAATAAGGGAATTTTCCTGTAATTGGAAATCAACAATCTAAACTTAGGCTTAAGTGGCATACCTTTCATTTCAAAATTTTATGTGTACAAGTAGAATAATTGATATGATTTATTATTGAAGGAAATACTTGGGGACTCTGGCCGAGCTGCTATTCAAACACAAGGCTCTACAAGCAATCCTTTTGGGTCAACATTTGTGTATGGTTACCCAAATGTTGCGTTTGAGGTCAACCACTTGAAAATCACCATAATCATAATCATTTATGTGCATCTATAAATGTATATACTTTGTGCCATCCTAATTCAGCTAATGTACTACACACAGGTGATGAAGAATGGACATATTGCTACTGTAACTCTCTTTCAGTCATGATGATATAAGTGGTGAGTTTATTTACCTAAATAAAAAGGATTATAATACTTTAGTGGTACTCATGCATAGAATGGCCCAGCTTTCGTGGTTGTAGAGTTGAGAGATCATGCTTGGTTGGAGTAAATTTTGTTAAGATAGATGGCTACATGCGATAGGTTTGATAATATTATAATGACTATGAGTTGATTGTTCTGCATTATCTAAAAAATTATCAAATATATTTTTAATAAATAAGATGAAATAATACTTGAATGAGAGTAGCAGACCATTTATTTTCATTTCATCCATTTCAGCAAAATACTAATATATGAACTATTTCTTTTTTCTTTTTTTACTATCAGCCGAGCTAATTAAAATTTGGCTGATACAGTGTGTTTGGAGAGCAGTGAACATCAACAAAGTAGTGGTGGACACGATTCGATCTCGAACCTAAAAACTAAGAGCCTTAATTTGACCCTAGGTAGGTGGGTTTTGGCTCTTGGTACTGGCGCTTTCGGTTCTGATTCTAGTTCTGACCGTCGTTTACATTCTCTTCAAGATGGTTCCTGTTACTTTATCAGAACTGGAACCTTATACTCCGTATATGACAATCTGATTCTTTGTTGGTGGGTTGTGGTCTGGTTCTAGAACTGCTGGTTCTTTCTAGGATCTGGAACTCTTAGATGGTCAAGATGTTAAATAAAACAAAGCGAGTTGCCAAATGACCTCTTGTATTGTAACACAATGTAATATATTGCATCTTATTTTCTACTAGTCATTTTTTTAATTTTATCTGGACAAAACATATGAAATGTTTTGCAGGCAGCAGGCCTTTAGGAAAGGGACTGCCTGATTTCTACAAGAAAGCAAGCTGGCTCTCTAAAGTTGAACACCCTGTGTGGAAGAGTGTCTGTATAGTTGTGCTATATTGTACAGTTGCTAATCTGTACATGGTCTCTAATTCATGAAACATGGGTACTTGAATATGTACATATGTGCTCATATATATATATATATATATATATATATATATATATATATATATATATATATTTATATATATATATTTATATATTTATTTATTTATTTATTTATCTGTAAAATGACATTCACTTATCAGAGTGGGATGTCTCTTTAGCTGTGTTGATTGGACAGGGAAAATTTCCACCTACTTGTTAGCGTAGTGAATTTGATTGAAATGATTCAAGTTGATGAATTTGTTTTTGAAGTAATAGAAGTAGCTGAACTTGTTACATAGTTACATATATTCTTCAGCCTCGCAATCAAGTTTTACTCTGAATATCATACCTATTTAGGTTAGTCCATTTTTGTTTCTTGATCTTTTAACTTTGTATTACTGGAATACTTATTAGTTAGAATTGTTTTTATTTGGATTGGAATTTTCTGGTCTTAGCTGGCCTGGTCTACTTTGGTAAAAATATCTTTATACTTACCCATGGCTTCATAAAGTAGGGGTATTATATTAATGTTTTTTTTTTAACTTTTTCATAATTTGTTTTAATGAAGTGGGAACGCAATTACAGGTGGAAGGGAGTTTATTTTTATCGGATGTCCCTGAAGGCTTGAAGGGACATGGAATTTTTATTTAAAAAACAATATCCAAAAGTTATTTTTACTTATTTAAGTTTATTTTGACATGAATAATACTAGGGAGAATATAACTTTGGACCTCGATATTTAACTTTGCACCATTTTTTCAAAATCATTTAACTTTGCACTCCACTACTTTACAAGTTTTGGATTGATAAGACATACATTAATAATTTTGAAAATGGAATACAAAGCAAAGTATCACTTAGAACGTGAAGTCAAACTCTCCCGTAATAGTAACGGGATAGTATAAAAGTGGGACTAGTTTTAAAAGTTGTAAAATAGTGATTAAAAGACATTTATAGGAGTATTGAACTAAAAAACGGCGGTCGTCTCCCTCTTGTTAGGGTTTTTGACACTTGTATTTACTTTCGGATGAACTTTTATTAATATACTTACATTTCATCCCAAAAAAGAGTAAATCGTACGTAGTACAACATATGAAACACAACATGCTCCGCATTAAATCTGTACGCTTTTGTTACATATTTGTACATAATTGTCTGTGTACACCCTCTAGTTGTCTGTGTATATAGACAGATCGTGCAACAATTGTCTGTGGTGCAGACATGAGTGGAGCCAGTGCACTGAGTCAATACAAAGAACATTTTCAGGGAAAAAAATGCACGGAATTTTTTTGCATTAAAAGTAAGGTATTTATAAATTTGGAGTGGGCTAGAGTTTAGATTATTCCCAACTTCTTTCATGTGTAAAAATATTTACGTACAAATGTGTGTTAAGTGTGTATGAATTTTAAGTACACCATAATTGTTGAATTTAAATAGATCATGTCTCATTGTAAAGTGTGATATGCCCTAGACCTTCTCACGTGACTCATTTTCCAACTTATTATTTTGCAAAATTATTTCCAAAGTGGTGTTCCCGCCCAAAACTCCCCACACTTTTCCGTTTTACTATATATATAGATAAGAAACTGACACATTATTGATTTATAACTCAAATTTTATTATATAAATAAAATATATTTTTAATTTTTTTTGTTTTATGTCATATGAAAGTTCATAAAAACTTATGAATTTTGACATAAGTTTTTCAAAACTTGGAGCAAATATAGCAGGTTAAAAACATATTTTTTTCCTTCACTCTCACCAAATGAGTTGGAATGATTAAAATGAATAGAAGTGATGCACTCAGCGAATAATAGTGATGTACCGAGTGAACTTGGATTAATTAAAATTCATTTATATTAACTATTTTGTATATTTAATAATGTGTTTTATAATGATTGGAGTATTGAGTGTTTAAAACTCTATTTTTAAACGAATTGTGAGCTCTCGCCTCTCTCTAGAACCGCCGCCTAGGTTGGTCTAGGGTTAGTCCGGAGACGGCTCTCCGCCGTGTCTCCGAGTCCTTTTATTCGTTGGATGTCTCTTTGGATTGTTTGGAAGACGCTGTCTATTGTCGAAGAAGTTGTCCAAGTTCCTCGGTCCGAGCTATTGAACGAAGGGTTTCAATACGTGTGCGGATAAGAGTTCTCTCGTTTCGGATATTCTTTTGCTTTTTCTCTTTTCGGACTGGAAAGCTTTGTGGACAAGTACAAGACGATGGAGATTGGCGCAGAGGAAGAAGAACTGGATCTGAATAAAGCTGATGTTGAAGTTGTGGTGGATGAATGGCGGGCGCGTCCCCCTCCTGAACCGCCGCCATGGAGTGAAAGCAAATCTAGAGTTTGGAAGAAGATGGGTGAATTCGTTTTGAATTTCGTTTTATTCAGTTTGTGTTTTTCTGTCGAATTGTTTGTTGTGTGGTTCTGTTTTGTTCTTTGTTTTTGCTTTATTCCAGTTTGTAAGACTTTGAGTTTGGATATGGGGGATGAGAGGAATATGGTAACCGTTTTTGGCTTTTTGTTTCTTAGTTATGGATCAACGAATCTTATTGCTACAACGATTAATTCCGAGTCTGGTTTGAGGGATAACGATTGTCAAATTTCTTTTTGTTATTTGACCCATACTCTGTAATATTGGTTATTAATATAAACCGAATTCTTCTAAAAAAATAGATCATGTCTCATTGGCCTTGTTTGGTAATCGGCAGTTAGCCGTTAGCGGTTAGCTGATTATGATAGCTGATTGACAGTAGCTGGTTGTGTCAGCTGTTTTAGTTGGCTGATTATATTAGCTTGTTGTCAATAAATGTTTGGTAGATTAGCTGTTTAAAAATAGTTGTTTGCATGTAAAAAGACATATAAGGACATTATTATATTTTATTTTATTATTAGATATGGCTTATAAAAAATAATATTACCTGCATTTATTTACAGAGTATAAGTCATTCAAATTTTAGAAATTGATAAATAAAACTGCTTGAAAATCTAAGCATATATAGAGCCCGTTTGGTAGCATAAAAATCGGCTGTTTTGGCTGATTCTGCTGAAATTTATGAAGTTCTAGCTGAAGTGGCTGAATTGGCTGATTCTGCTGATTTAAGAAAAAAAATTAAAATATAATTTATTAATAAAATAAAGAAAAAATTATATGTAAAATAGCTAAAATGGTCATCTACAGTGACTTCAGCCAATACACCCAGAAAAGTAACTCTAACCTTACTTTTCTGCTTATTACATAATTCAGCGCGCGAAAGCAAAAATTACGTGTATGGTGAAAAAGTTGGCTGATAAGCCTGATAAGCCGAAAAACAGTGTTGCCAAACGGCCTCAAGTACTAAAGAAGTGCATTGCACCTAAGCATATACGATAGTATAAAGTACTACGTATTACGATAAACATATAATAGTAGTCAATAGGTATAAATTATACTGTACTAAAATGAAAAGATAAATAAATAAAAAGTTAAGCTAAAAAGTACTCCGTACTTTTTAAGAAAATAATGGAATACGTAACTACCTAGCTAATCTATGAAATCCACAGAATATACTAGGAGCATCGTAAAGATTGACACGAGTGTTTAGAAGGAGTATATTGTAAAATTTGAACAATCCAACATGAAACGCTGCCATGCCTAGCGTTTCCAACATCTGTTTGGGATGAAGAAGCTGATGCAAGAAGCTATTTACCAAACATATTATTTAGCTGGTCAATCGGTCAAAGCAGCTAAACTTAGTCAAACAAGCCAAAAAATGCTTGATGAGCCAATTTAGCAAACATGGGCCACATGGCCATTCTTTTTAGATAGATCAGGCCTATATTAACCAAAAGTAAACCAACGGGTCTAATCAAACGACCCATGAATCATTCGAATCAGACCAGAAAGTTTGGTTCGAATCCCGGTTTTGACCATCCATCTGTCCCATAACGCCAGAAGCCGCTAACTGAGAGCCAACACACTCTTCATCGGCTCACATGCCCGCCTGAAGCCGCTGGTCTCCGTCGCATGTGCCGTGTTTCCCGCTGTACCTGTAAGCTTCTTCGGTGAAATCTCAATTTTAATTTTGTTAGGGTAGTAGGGTTCAAAACTCGAATGAACTTTGATTTTACTAGAGTTGTGGTATAACACTCGAATCGCTTGGGCATTGTTTTTATGTCGAATTTTTAATTATTTGAACTATATCTAGTAACACTTGCAGTTGAGTGTTCATCATTCATCATCATTTTCATTTACCCCATTGTCCCAAAGGCTGCCACCTAGGGTGGCTCACTTACGGAGCATTTTTAGCTCAGACATGGATTAATATTTTCGCCCCCTAAGGCAGTTTAGTGAGCCATTTTGCTATATTACATCATATTTTCAAGCCAAAAAATAATGAATAGTGTTACGGAGCATTTTTATCTCGTCAATTTTTGATACTTTACTTTGATTCCCTCGCGTTTTTCTGACAGTTAGTTAATTAGTTCTCGCGCAAATTTAGTGCAGGTTCGTAGTTTCTTCAGTCTATGCACTCTCAATCTACAATGATTGTGCCTGGGTTAACCGCTAGCCCATTAAGATACAGTTTTCACCCATCTGTACGATGTCTGGGGTTCCCTACCAAGAATGTTCTGGTGTTTACAGATGTAATGAGAATGCGGTATATGTTCAAATCCTATGTTATTCTATTTTTTGTTAACATTACTACTACTACTACTGGTCTACTGCTAATTGGGTATGTTATTGTTACGACCGTTTGTTTTCATATTCTTAATTAAACCTGCAGGCGAAACGATACAAGGAAATTCAAATTAGAGCGAAATCATCTAGTCAAGTGTTCAATGTCAGCTTACTATGAGGATTCCATGGGTGATGCTGGTGGTAAATATATATCTTTTTGTAGCTAGAAAGTTTCCTTTAACTAATTATACCATTTGGTTCAAGAATGCTATCCTGGTGGAATTTTCAGAGATCTGGAGAAATATTAGATGTGGCTGCTTTATGCTTTAAATTTGTCTCTGTCAAATGATACAACAACGAATAAACACAGTGTGTACTGTGTATTTTCATGAAGAGTTGATGTAATTACAAATATTTCATTTTAAAAACCTTCGTAATTTTGTAATGATCTACACTAGATGGAGATGCAACTGACATACTATACTCCCTAATAGCCTAGCACTTAAACAATAGTAGGAGACTAGGAGTACATATTTAGAATAACCAGGTAAATAATAAAATACTTGAACATTCATGGCCTGTTTGGTAAGGTTATTTAGTTCAAGTGGCTGAATTTTCTAAAAGGAAAAGCATTTGTAACATACGTTGGCCAAAAAGTTAAATATGCTTATC